TTTTTTTAAAAAAATTGCCTCTTCAAAACCTGGGTGCATCTTATACTCCGATGCGTCTTATACTCCGAAAAGGACGGTAATTTGTGAATTTAATTCTGTAACTTGTGTTAATGTCAAAAATATCCAGAGGATAAAGCCATCCAGATATGGATTTCTGAATTTCCATATACATCACACCTCCTTTGTGTAATTTTATTGCTGGCTCTTGTATCAAAAGACTTTTTACCAAACATTATTTTCCCTTTCCAGTTGAGGTAAAGAGAATGAATCAGTTAACCTGCTTCCTTTTTTTGTTACTGCTGCTTAGTTTTATGCTGTGATGTGTATCATCTATATTTGACTTGGAAGGCATTCCACTATTAATAATTAATTATATAACCTAGATTTGCCTAGACTGACAGTCAACGAGTATTAGGTCTTACATCAGACAGCCCAGCTAATTGTAACAGAATTCCAACTGTCAGTGAGCACTTGTTCTGTCTGATTCTATTGTGAGGGATGGATGTCCTTGGTAAGAACTGGTCCCTTTGGACCAAATAATACACCACTGTCAGATAACTATATTTTATATGCTATTTAAATCCATACTGCTGATTTTCATTTTAATGCAGTTAATTCTGTACCTTCATGTGCATATAAATTAGTTGGTCCAGCTGAGGATCTTTTGATCATGGCCAAGATAATAATTTTGTCATTTCTAATTTCATGAAGATTATTGCAAACCTGTATGTCAAATATCTTGTTAAGATGTCATCCCTTGCAGAAGAAAAACAAGTTAAAAGTTTATAAATATAAATGAGAAATGTAGAATAAAAAAGTTGCAGCTTTTTAAGTAGCCCTCTTAAAACTCCTTCTCATGATAGAATGCAGTACTTGAACCTAAATCTATCTTCTTCTGAAGATTTAATTCAAAATGTTCATTTATAGTTTTCTAGTAAATGAGTAGTTTTAATTTTACTGGACTACTGATTCTTGGATCACAGATGAGTTACTTGTGGTTGATTTCATGTGTAATATTTCCCTATCTGAGGAAATAAAATGGTTTGCGGAAAAGAAGTGATAACCTACAGGGTCAAGTAATAAATTTCACACTGAAGTTATAGAAAGCTGCTTCCATACTTACTTTCTACTTCTGTTTTATATTGTTTATATTTGTATATTTCTGTATAAAGGAAGTAGTACAATAAAAGAATACACTAACACGTATTCTTATCACACAGCAAGACAGCAGAGAAATGTTTCATAATGTAAGACATATGATATATGATCTTATTGAATGGCGATCACAAATACTGTCTGGAACACTTCCCCAAGATGAGCTCAATGAACTAAAGAAGAAAATCACAGCAAAGACTGATTATGGAAACAGGTTGGTGATGACTAGCTTGAAACATGCATATATTTCCTTGTTTTTATCTTTGCTTTTTATTCCGATGATTTTCCATGCTTCTGTTTATGTACCATATATTATATATCCATTAAAAACATTTACATGGCAATATAAATCTTATTTCCAGAATCAGTAGCCTCTTTCTTGATTGCTTAAAGAAAGTGTTTTAAGATACAATTTTCCAAATGTATTTTTGTTCCACGCAAAAATAACGTGTAAATATTTGTATTTATTACTTGTGTACCCCAAATTGCTGTTGGTTCAAAACTACAGCTATGCAATGATTTTTGATCTAAGTAATATGTGTTAAGATAATATGCACATAACCAATTTGTTGAGATCCTCAGCTTCCGTAATAAACTATAATTGGCATTTAGATAAGATAACTCTAAATAGATTTCATAAATGCTTGAAAAGTAATAAACTCTATTAACTTTAAATGACCAATTTGCAAAAAAGATTTTAACCACTTTCAGGATACACCCATGTCAAGTTAAAAGATCATAATAAAAATTCTGCAATAAACTTAATCACCTGCTTGGCAGTCAGTTGTTCCAACATCTATAAATAATTTCCAGGTGTAAATGGCATATCTGGCTATGCTAAACAGTATGCCATAATCAGAAGACAAAATTTCTCAACATGCTTGTATGTACGTATGTACAGCAGGGACGTGCAGTCAGGGGAGGCAGGGCCTCACCACTGTCATCATGAAAAGAAAAGAAAAATGTAAAAAGAAAAAGGCTGAGCTAGTTGCTGCCAGAGTCACCGTGGATGACTCTGCTTAGTGCTTAACTGTTTAAAAAAGCCTCTAAAAACAGTGCCCTCTGCAGGAGGAGGCGAGAGAACCACGGCGGCAGGGCTTTAAAGTGGCGGCAGGGCTTTAAAACCCCAGTGTCGTGCCCGCCATAGAGCGGGACACATTCCACTCTATGGCGGACACAGCGGCGGGGCTTCAGCGGGCCTTTCGGAAAGCCGTGCCGGGGCTTTGCTGCGGCTTTCGGAAAGCCCCACCGAAGCCCCGGC